CCCATTAAATGCATATCTGCTCTGTGTACTTTTGCACATGGTTTGCATATCATAATAACATCTATTACGGAAACCTTGCTAACTTCTTAAATTGTGTAGAAAAGGCTGTGAAGCTTACTCCTAGAGAACATAAAAATATAGAGAATAAAAGTTATAGCTCCAAGTATTGAATGAAGGCCGTGTTTTGGAAAAAAAAACACAGAAAAGTAAAATACTAGAGTAAAAAACATATACTGTAATTTTAATTTGTATTAATAGATGTCCTTTTTGCCCTTCCCCAACTTAGTATAGATGCACACTAGGTGTAAAAAAGATCTTATAGCATATTTTAATCTAGGAGTTTAGAAAACTCTTGATACATTGATAAATAAAAGGCATGTCAGGATGTTATTTTTAATTTTCTGATGTTGTGAACTGGAATTTTGCATAATCTTTCTGAAAATGACTATCCTCTTAAATTTAAAGCTTTTAATTAAAAAAAAAAACCAAAAAACCCCAAAAGCCCTCAAACCTTTTCTTGGTAGTCCTATGTCCCATGATTCTTAAGTATATGTTAACTAGTTTCAAATGTGTTTTTGTTCTCTGACTCAAAATCAGTCCTTTATTTTAAAAAAAGAAATTGTGTAATTAGTTCTTAATTGCTTTGGATATTTTGGGTATTTGGAAAAGAGGGTAATTCAAAGGCCAGAGAAATTAAACTTTCACAATGTTCTTTACGCACATGTAGTTCCTTTTCTAAAAATGCCCTCTAAAGATGGGCCTGACAACTTAAAAATAAATGAAGACCTGGGTTGTTTTTAAAAATTAACATCAGTTTTATCTTTGGATTCAGTTTTGTTGATTTTTTTTAAGATAAATTGGAGAGAGGATCATTGAAATGCTAGAATTCAAGAAATTATCTAGTTCTTCTTTTCAGACAGGTGTTATCTAAATGATATCTGATCTAAACAATATATGACAGATGGCTATCTACCTCTCCTGTGCTTCAAAATCTTACAAGAGGAAGATAAGAATTTTCCCCACTTCATAAGTGTTACACATAATCACATTTAAATATCTGCATAATTAAGAGTGGTGTACAGTCCGCTGGAACAAACTGGAACTTGGTTGACATGGGCTCTTGCCCTGTGTCTGTAACTATTTGAGAGATCTAGGTCTCCATTGGTCACTTAACTTTTCTAGGCTACGTTTCTGGTGCATAAATTGGAATGTTGGACCAGTAAGCTCAACTAATTCAGATTATCTAAAAACCATTTTGTGAATCTAGAGGCTAACAAGTCTGCTTTTAAGTGATAATATTCTTATATTAATTTTGATAATGTACTCTTGAACTATGACATTAAAGAGCTTAATAGTTATGAAATATATTGGGTATATTCGCTTTAAACCAGAAGAACCTCACTTTGTATCTGCTATATACACTGAATAAAATAGATTTGTAGGATTTAGAGATTGATTTCTTATTTATCCCCAACCATTTTGGGAATAAAAATGTTATTCCATATTATTACCATTACTTGTTTTTTCTTTCTGACTAATATTATTCTTTCTTTAAATAATTTTTATTTCAACATATTAGAGGCTACAAGTGTTCTTATAACATGAATAAATTGTATACCTCTGACTAATTATTTTTACTTTTTTCTTAATCTTGATCATTTTTTTCTTGGAAAAAAACAGCAGATCACTTAAACATCTAGTTTCAACTTGGGAAACTCAAAAAATTATAAGTAACTGCTTGGTTCAAATTGTGTAAAGAATTATAAGAACCTATTTGAAATGTGTGATTTTCAAGGAAAATATAAATTGCAAAACTGACTATAGAAGAGATAAAAATATAAATAGATCAGTAGCCATAAAAGGAATGGAAAAGTAGCCGAAGTATAGTCCAACAATAGCACCAGGTGTAGATTGGGTTTTTGTGGGGATATACAACCAAAATTTTAAGGAGCAGGTAAGTCCAACATTATTTAAAATACTAAGCATCAAGGAAAAACATAGGAAAATTTCCCATCAGTGTTAAGGAAAAGAATATTGTCCTTTTCTTTACAATTGAAATGAACCTCAGATGAAAATGTAGAACAGACAGTTGGGACCAAGGATGAAAGATAGCAATGAAAAGTTATCAAATAAAACCTTGATCTTTGAGTTTAGTTCAGTGCCACTGTGCCTTTTTGATGCATGGGGAGTTAAATTAGGAAAGAAAATTATTGTCAGTCCAGATGGGCTTTGTAAAAGACATAAATATTCTTAAAAATGCACTTGTATTTTATTCAGTTATTCTTTTTGAGTATTAAATGTGTATAGGACATATCTTGATGGTGAGAGTGGGGCAATGGATAGGATGTTTAAAGATGAAAGCGAAACATTTCTGTTGTCAGAACAACAGCATCCAGCCCAGTGTGTGAGAGACAATAGACAATGGACAATAGTACAAGGTAGCTAACACAGAATGAGGCAGAAGGGAATTAGTATGGGCTGTGACCAAGGTATGTCCCTTCAGGATCCCACTGTTGGAACCTGGACAGATAAACCAAATTTTAAATCCATACTGAATGGTTTGGATAATGATCCAAAGAAATGTGTCAAGGTCTGGAGTCCAAGAAAGGAGCATAATGCAAAAGCTAGAAAATCAGGCCAGATGGACAGGGCTGACCTTAAAAATCTCCCAGTGGGGTGATTCAGTGTTAGAAACTTCTCCTGGGGCCTAGAGCAGGTGAACAAGGCCACCTGTTCATAAATGCTACTTCCTATACTTGTGCTGTCATTTCCTCTGAAGGTTGCCAAGTTGTTACCTCCTCCTTTCCTAGGAACTCTAGATTGAAAGAAGCAGTGTGAAGGTTGAAACAGGGGCGATAAGGCAGTGAGAGTTTAGTAAGTAAATTTAAGGAAGGAGAGGATGTCCAATACATAGTTTTTCAGATGTTGTAGGTAACCTCTTTACTATAAAAAATAGAAGTCTAATATCACTAGTGGTGATACAGACTTCTAGATGCCGTCTTTTGGGTATGATTACCATTGGATCAACTTCATTCTGAGACAGAGAATGGGAGGGAGGGAGAAAGAAGGGTGTGTGTGTGTGTGTGTGTGTGTGTGTGTGCGTGTGTGTGTGTATAAGAAAGAGAGTGCATGCACTCAAATGAGCCAGTTGTACTTTGAAGTTCTCCACAGAAAGATGGAAAGATTCCCTAGCCTCACTTGATATTTTATGTTCGGGTTTTGGGGTTTGGGTTTTTTAATTTTCACATTAAGGCAGTCATGCAGTTTAAATTGTAGGTATTGTGTTAGTAATTTTGGTGCAGTGAACATGAGTGCAGCATCTGCCTTTTAAAGGGATTTTAGTGTGTGCATTTGGATTGCTTGGTGACCTTTGAAATTTTGTTTTGCACTGTTATCAGAAACATAATCATTTTTCTTTCTGAAATAGATTTTAACATCTGCAAAGGTTGATCAAGCTAGGATAGTTTTAATAAAATATTAATCTATCTTTTTTAATGTCAACCCAGCCTTTAAAACTGTTCATCAGCTACCTGAAACGTCAGCTCAAGGCACTAGAGTCGATTTTAATAAATGTCTTTTTTATTAAATAGTCTCGTTGTGGTCTGAGTATAGAAATTTTTCTCCAGTTCTGTTCATCAACAGCACACTTTCCAAATTTTCTTGTTTTTAAAGTCATACTACTTTAATTTGTATTTCATTACCTCAACATTTAACTTAAAATTTTTTTGTATTTCAAGACGGGGGGGATTGTACTGAATTCTGGCATCAATCCTTCAAAATCTCGATAGCTTAAGGATATTGACTTTTAACAGAATTTAACTTAAATGTCTACTTTAAATATGTGTCTTGTCATTAAAAGGTTATTTACATTTAAAATGCTGACCTTTCAAGATTTACACAAGAGTGTTCTAAAAGAGAGTTCCTGAATGTTGGCCATGAAACCACTGTCTTGGGCTGACAAATGGATTGGAAATAAGCTACCCAACACTGGGAATGGGCCATTAATTTTAATCAAAGGTGATGCAGGAAGGCGAATGGGATGCATGACAATGTCAACAGCCCCGTAGGTGTTAAGAGACCACACAGCCTTCCTTGTTACTTGGTTGGACCATTAGTTGAGGTTGGGTGAAGACAGAAAGCCATGTCTGGAATTGAATGACCAGGTCACTCCAAAATCTAATGGAGAACTCCCCATTTCAGAAATCACATTGTAATGCCATTAGAAGTCAAGGACAGCATTTAGAAAATATTGGAGGATTTTTTTTTTTTTTTAACCAAGCACCTTGCTAGTTTTTTCCAACTTTGTCAGGCTTTCTTTTTTTCCTTCTGGATGGATCATTGATGTTTACCAGAGGATCAAGAAATCAAACAGACTTAGGGAAAAAAATCTTAAAGGCCTGTTTGCTTTTCAGAATTGCATATTGTTAGTTATAAAACCCTGGTAAATGCCAAAAGCAATAGCATACCAAAGGAGTTAAGCAGGATAATTAATTCTTTGTGGTGATCTCATTGTCCTTGTCCCTTTCTTCTGTGTAGGAATAGTTTCACTAATTGAAACTAAACTTTCTTAATTGCTTTGTTGAGAGCATTTGTTTCATAATTATAAAGGCCACTGTGCTCTTGCCTTCCTGTAAATTGTCAATATTGGCTGATAACATTAGCAATGTTCATGGTGGTGAAAGCCTGTTCTTTCAATCAGTAAGTATATTTCTTTATTTTTAGTATCTCCAGTTACAAAAAAAAGATAGCGTATCACAGCTTGAATTAATGATGTTTATAATAAAGGCATAAAAATGCAGAAGGGACAAAGAAGTGTTTTTATATCTGTGCTTCAGGTTTGTTAAGAAAGTTCATTTATTCTGACACAGCATTGCAAGCATAAGAAAGATATGTATGACTGCATTAGTAATTTTTACACATATATGAGAAAGAAAAGCAATTATATTGCTATCTTGTTAATGGAACACTGCTATAAGTAATAGTATTTGTTCTTTCTGTAGATGAAGATCAGCTCCGTGCAAAGGGTTATGACAAAACGCCAGACTTTATTTTACAAGTTCCAGTTGGTAAGTTCTTAAGCTCTGTTGTGCATTTGTTTATAGAGAAAAGAGGTGTATTTTTTTCTATACATTTTTTGTTAATATGTTCATAGTAGCAAATGTTACCTGAGTAGATTAACTTTATAAAATTTTACCTAAATGGATGAAAATAGTTGAAGAAGATTATTTTAAAATGGTAAAAAATAATAGGTTCAAAAGAAATCTATACTTTACAAACTTTTACATATACTTGAGAAATGAACATATTTTCTAAACTTGCCATTTTCAACTTATTTCTCTAAATTTTGCATCTTTTAAACTTGATTCTCTTGAAAAGCCAAACTCATTCTGGTCTGTTTGACATGTCACTTGTCGAGTTATACAGGGAATCTCAGAACTAGGAAAGGGACTTTGAGGAATATGAAAAATAAAAGGGATGTGATGGTAACATAAATGTTCCTTGTAATGAACATATGCAATGCATTGTTTTATAATTACATTTATAGATGATGGTAAGCGCTAAGCCTCTGCTCATTAATGTGAAGCATAGAGAGGCCTGTGTAGAGTTCAGAATTTTCAATCTTCCCTTTCCTTTGCCGTATATTAGTAATGCTTTGTCCCTTAGCTGTAGAAGGGCACATAATTCACTGGATTGAAAGCAAAGCCTCATTTGGTGATGAATGTAGCCACCACGCCTACCTGCATGACCAGTTCTGGAGCTACTGGAATAGGTAAGGTCCCATTATTTTTCTCTTAAGATAAACGACACTCAGCTGAAATCTCATTAGAAAAAATATTTTGTTTAGCTGGTAAAAATGCTAGTAGCCTTTTTTTCTAGTGAATATAGGGTCTTGATTAATGTATTCATTTCAGATAATTTAAACTTCTCTGCTTTCATAATGTTGCTTCATTTTTTAAGACTAAAAATCTCTGCATAAGGTCAAAGTTAGTATATACTTCATTTTCCATTGTACAATGATAATATTAGTGCCACTTATAATATGGATAATAAGATGTGATGCATATTATAATATTGACATTGAGTTTTTATCCTTTTGATGTGAAATTTATGCTTACTGCCAGACTTCAGAATAATTTGTCCTCAGCTCTCTGAGGAAAGTAACCAAATGATATGAAAAATGAAAATGATTTACCTTCTAACAGTAGGAAACAGTTTACCCACCGGCTGCTGTCAACATTCCTGAAGGCATAGAAATCTTCAGTGATTAAGAAAGGTGTAAGGGGTTGGGGGGATGCTATTTTATTGATTACTCACCACGTGCCTGGGCCTGCAGATTATCTCAGCTAATCCTCACAAGGAAGTTACTTTTATCCCCATTTTAGAGATAACTAAGCTGATACTCGGAGAAAATGATATGCCATACAGCTAGTTATCATAGGTCTGCATTTCTCTTTCTCCTGAACTTGTGCTATTCCCAGCACAGCCCTGTTGTCATTTACAATGCTATTGTTGAAACTTTGCCTTTTTCTATTATTGCAGTCCCAAGTTTTCACAGTATACACATTTTCTCCCTTTAGAATAGGAGGTGGGTCAAGTGGTAACCTTCCTAGATAAACTATTTTCCTTGGTCACTGACCAATAGGAAGAATACAATAATAAGATGACATTAGCTCCAATCATTAAGGAATGAGGCAGTAGCAACTGTGGACAATAGCCTTGTCCTGGGTTAAAAACAGCAACCAGCTAGAGAATTTGGCGTTATATTGTTACTCAGCTTTACAAAAGGCCAGCGGACGTTGCCTGTAGCAGCTGTGCTAAACTGAGCCCACTTTTTGCCATGGTAACAATGATCATGACAAAATGCTGAACGTAATGGCTTTCTTGATTTTCTTGTGTAATTGCGCGTAGCATCCGAGCTTTACTTTACAGGGATGGAGGAGGAAAGTGCAAAATGTTTTAGAAATCAATGCTGCTTCAGCGTTTCCTGTGTTTTATTCAGCCATTATTCAAATTAGTAGTAATGTGGCAAATGGAATTTTAGATTTTTAGCAATTTTATGATGAGTTTGAAATAGTAGAGAAAGCATCATTTTTGATAGTATAGGGAAAACAATGATAAGAAAATCAAATTGTGTAAGTTTAGGTTGTTAAAAGAATTTAAAATGCCTATCAACTCAATCAGTATGCATTGAAACCGTTTTCCCCCTTTTGGTACTGGTCATCTCTTTTTTGAAGAACAATTGCAAATTGAATCCCAAATGGTAGAACTTACTTTAAAATTCCAAAAGTATAATCTTTATTCTAAAACTATTTATTGAGTACCTACTATGTGCACTTACCATTTAGATGTTGATTAAATAATCTAGTTACTTGAGTGATAGACCTATGGATTTTCGACACAGCTGGAGTCATAGAAATTTAATACAGTTTCCTGTGTATTTTTTATTATTTTATTGCATTCTACTTTTTCCATTCTAATGATGTTTTACTTAGACTATTACTGATTTACTTTCCCTAAACATGTCCCTCAAAGATATATCAGCTAAGTAGACATAATTCATTGATTCAATCACCCATTTATTTATTTTTTTTTTAGAGACAGGATCTCACTCTGTCATCTGAGGTTGGAGTATAGTGGCGTCATCAAAGCTCACTGCAGCCCCAAACTCCTGGGCTCAAGTGATCCTCCCACCTCAGCCTCCCAAGTAGCTAGGACTACAGGCATGTGCCACCACACCTGGCTAATTTTTTTTTTATTTTTTGTAGAGACAGGGTCTCACTGTGTTGCCCAGGCTGGTGTCTTGAACTCCTGACCTCCTGACCTCATGTGATCTCCTACTTCAGCCTCCCTAGTCACTGAGATTACAGGTGTGAGCCACTGCACCTGGCTGGGCATAATTCATTTAGGGCATGATGTGTGATAAAGGAGTTCTAGCATTGGTTTTAAAGGGACCAGATCATTTAAGGAGGAAATACTAGACACAAAAGTCACTGATGTTATCAAATATCTGCAGAGAGGCCAAGAGATGCACGTAGTTCAAAATGGAACATAGAGGCAATTACTTGATTATAAAATTTGGATTGTAATAATTATATAAGCTTACCAGTGATGGGACATTGTGACAGAAGGAGAACTTAGCCCATTTGTGAAAATATCAGATCCTACTATTTTCATATTTTGCCTCAATATAACTCACACAGCAGTTGCTTAAATTCTTTAAAGTTGGGTGAAATTCTCCCCTGCCTGCCTTTCAATTTGGGCTATTTTCTTTATTTGTGTGATAAGCCACTAGTTGATATAAAAACTAATGTTAGCTAATTATCATACTATTTTCAGATTAAATATTGGATTTTACATTAAGTCTGTTCAATTACTATTTGTAGAATAATGCCTTTGTATTAATATAAACCTATTTTCCCAAACAAATAACTATACAGTCCCCAATTTTGAGATTAACATTTCTGTAAGTTTTCTTTTATAGTAAATTGATATTTTTACTCAGGTTAATTAACCTTTAAAAAAATTAAATTTTGCAATGCAGTCTCCTTCCCCCAAATCAGAGATACTGAGTAAGGAACTTTAAGCTTTCTTTCCTGCAAGCAGACTCCCATTCCATGTGTGAACCTGGATTAATAAATAACTCCTTAAAACTCTATACTTCTGTGGAGCTAAAGGAAATAACGAGTGCCTCTGAGAAGCAGCATTTGGACCATAAATACAGCCCCGTGTTGCATAGGGTTACCAGAAAACGCATTTCCTTATGGAATCAACACCAGGAAGGCCTTCTCATTCCACTTCTCTAATCAAAAAGTGAGTCCTTTGACAATTTGACCTGTATTACTAAATATATTTTTATATTCAGATGATGACAGATAAATAAAGAGACCAATACATACATGAGTTCTAACGTGGCCTTTCAAAGAAACAGGAGCAGACATCCTGTGCTTACCTTTGGTGGTTGGTGGTAAGGTGGGTCAATTTGAATGAAAACACTGAGTGACCTTGAATGACAAAGAAAGAGCCACAAGCTATAAAGCCCGTGAACAGTATGCAGCAAACACTGTCAAGAACATGGAAGTGGCAACTGCAAGTTCAGCCCCTCCATCTGCCGTTCTGGTCACATTCTGGCACACTATCATTAGAGGCATCTATTTAAAACCAAAGTGCACTTTGCTGATTTACCTCTCTGCTCTTCTTAAAGAAGATCTTAGCTTCCTGGCTGAAACAAATGGGGCAAAGCTTTGTTTGAATCTGGTTTTCCAATTTAGTGATCCTTGACATAATGGAAGAAATATTGGGTTTGAATCCCTGCTCTGCCACTCTCTGGTCTCATGACTGGAAGCAACTTTTCCTTGCCCATTTGTTTTCTTTTCAATAAAATGGGCTTAATAATACCTTCCTTGCCCTACTATTATGAAGATCATTTATTTAATACATGTAATGCACTTTCACAGTGCCTGGCAGTGAACAAATATTAGTTCCCCTCTGTCTCTTTGTCCTGAATATCACTCTCATGGAATTTGAAAGTCTTCTGATTAGACACTTTTAATTGTCTTCTTTACCATATAAACTACTTAGCTAATTTCAGCACTCAGCTTGACTGACATCTCTTTGGGAAACCTTCCCGAATTCCAAGATTGGGTTTGATGTACCTCTTGTGTTCTGCTAATAATTTCATAGCATTTATCAAACATTATAATTACTTGTTTGCTTGTCAACATCCTCCAATTAAAAATCAGTTCCATCTTATCTACTGGTTTTGTCCATCTCTGAATGTCCAAAAACTGGCACATAGTAGATGATAGTAGATATTTATTGAATGAATGAATATATGAATGAATTTACTGATGCTTGATAGACAATAATGTTTGAATCAACTGTTGAGGATTATGTCAGATGTATAACATTAAACCATAATATAGCCAAAACTTTTTTGTTGAGAATTCCACTCCAAGGACAGTGAGAAAAAATCTCATATTTCTGAAAAACTTTTACAGACTTTTCAAATATATAGGCTTTTCCCGATCTATTTCATGAAATATAGTGTAAATGTATTTAACATAAAGAATTTTAAAATAGAAAATAACTGAGAACAAATGGCAAATGTATTTTATAAAGTTTTTTTAGATAAATATTTGTAATCTTATATTGATTAGTTGCTTTCCCAAAACTTCACCCACTTCTCTCCTTCAAAATTTGACATGGAATGCCTTGAAAATTCTGAGCAAAGGGTGATTCCTAGTTTCTTTATTGGGTGCATGAAACTGGGCCTGGGGCAATAGTACAAATGGAGCCCTATATACCATATGTCTAAATATTTAAAATTACATAACAGACATTAAATAAAATATATTCTATCCTACATGAAGAACTGGAAGCTCAGATTTGCATTAAGAATTTCCAGATGTGTCAGTGCTGAGATGTGGCCTCACCACACAGCCTGCCTCGGCTCCATCCTACACCTGGAAAGGTGTCAAGCACAACCCAACCTACATATCTAAGCTCCATGCACATTCCTACAAACCACTGCCCTCAGGCCAGGGGTGCACACTCTGCTGGTCTTCCCTTTTATCAGGTGGACAAACCTGAGAGAGAGGGCCATGCAGGACCTGGGAATAGTCTCAGGATATTAGATTAGGAAGTGTGAGGTCCTTGGCACATGGAGTGTGGGCTTAGAAAGAGGCATTAAGTGAGGATGTTCCTTGGTCCCAAAGACTCCTCACCCCATGGATTGGGATACAACCAAAGAGGGGCTAGAGCAGAGACCTCTAAAGCTTGGGTCCAGGACATGGACCCCTCTTGATTGGATCTAAAGGACAGTATCAAAGGAAGCAAGTGTGTGTGTCTTCCAAAGCCATTTCTTGCCCTGGTGTTAGGATATGAGGGGAGATGAACACCAGAGGAAATATGGTCTTGGTCACATTTATGTACCACTGAAAAGATTAAGAGCTGAGTTCTATCTGTCAGATTTTTTTGAACCTTTGGCTCCAGAAAGTCTACTCTCCTAGAAGCAATGCTAAGCTAATACCTTCTGCCACAAGGATTGATTTGACTTTCCTTCTTACCTCTAAGTATTTTTAAAGATCAGTTATTTACTCAATGGTCTAGCAATTGCTTTCTCTGGTTTGTGATAACTTGAGAGGATAGGCTTTTAGAACAGGGCCGCCGAGCAGTTAGAGTTAAGGAAGGTATTTTTCAGAGGATGGCCAAAGTTTTTTCCTGTATTAAGATACTTTCAGGAAGCCTGCAATTAGCCAAATCACAGATTTCCAGTTATTTCAGCCTTGTTAAAAACAAGGCTGATCACATCTGTCTCAAGTTGGAGTATGTGCCTCAGCAAATAGAAGCTCTTGCAAACCTTCAATTACAGCAGCCTCGGAAGGCACTGCTGCGGTATACTAACAAGTAGTCATCAGCAAAAAGAGACAGATTGACTAATAATTAGCAAATGCACTAGAGAGGGCTTCTGTAAAGGTAAAATATAATAATTTGCTTTTCCATCTCTTATAGTGGAGTTGGTTGTGAGATATGGATGTTCTGTTATTCTAGACAAATACTTGACACTGTTATTAGCTGGAATAACCTCAAAATATTTGATAAAGATGAGGCAAGTGTTTTCTGTGTATGTGGTACTTTTGTAGGGATGATTTCTCATAATGGTTAAGTACCTTTTTTTTCTGCATTTGAGATGTGAATAACAAGACTTTCCTAAGCAAGGAATTCATATTTTCTGCCATAGTTTATTGTTTTTTAAAATGACTTTAAATACAAACGCAAATAAAGAATAGAATAGAAATGTTGTTTTAGGCCTTTAGAGTGATATTTGTAATAAAGACACAGTTGTTGAGAAAATGGAATGAGTTAAAGGATTAAAGGGAAAGAAAACAGATGTATAAAGAAATGTCAATGTGTTACATTTTCTCAGGGTAGAAAAACATCTAAGTGATTACTGTCTTTAAGCACATGCAATATTTTTATGAGGGGAGCATATTGACCATTTTTACAAAGCCAGGGTACCAAAGAATTGTTGAGAGGATTCCTCTTCTGTTGACTCACTATGATAGAGTTCATCTGAGTCATGTATGGCTCAGAAATGTTACCCCAAACCAAACCAGCAAGCAAAGGATTGAGTGGCCATCCTAGGAATGGAAACACATCATTATGACCATCCAGAAATGGTCATGGAAGAATGAAAGAGTTTACCAATAGGACGTGAGATCTGGAGCACAGTTAGAGTCAGGAACTCAAGGATACAGAGTCTATTTCTGAGCCTCATTCTAGAATAATGGAGATCAGGTTGAAACTGATGCTAAAATGGCTTAAGGTATAGGGATTGGCAGTGATTTTCAAACTTCACTGTGTTAAAATCACGTGGGGATTATTTTAAAAATATTGATGTTGGCTTTACCCTTAGAAAACTGATTTGATTGGTATTTGGTGGCACCAATCACCTAACAAAAACTCCCAACAAAAACTTTGGGAGTTTTTGTTTTGTTTTATTTTGAAAACTATGATGATGCTAATTTGCATCTAACATTGAAGTCAACTTCTTCTTTACCTAGGCTTGATTGGCTAGCTAGCTAGCCCTAGCGTTCCTAGCTTGTCTGCTTCTAAACAGAGTCTTTTACAGGCAAACATTTACAGGCACTGTTGTTCATCAGTGGGGACTCAGCCTCTGCCTTTGAGGGGTGAGGCAGTAAATTGCAGAGGCAGCACCTGAATCCAGGTCTCCCTCTGAACTCCACACGTATGTTCTTTCTACTCCACGAGGCAGCTTCATGTCGGTCATAGTGGTAAAGCTGTTGGAAAAGCGTGTTTACTCTGTGAGTTAGTGGATATGCTAAGCTAAAGTTAGGAGCCTCTCTCTAGCATATGAGTTTCAGATATTCACCTTCATGTGGTTTTAGAAAATGGGCTAGTTCTCTGTTGCTCTCTCAAGAGCTCTTTTTCTGTATTCAAAATACATGTATGTAGGATCAATATACAAGCCCGTTATATACGCACACACCCAGAATACAATAAATCCCTAGATTGTTGGAATTGAAATCCACAAAATCAGGGAGATTTTTTTGGATATGGTACAGACTCACTAAATCTGTATTGTCTACAGATCAACCCGATCAGAAAATAAATGGAGTATAGAACATTCGTTAAGAAATACAAGTTTTTATTTTAGAGTTCATATTTTATTGTGAATTACAGTGTGTTGCAAAGTAAGGAGTATTTGTTTTAATAAATAACAGTGTTTTTTAAAATAGCTTTATTGAGGTACAATTGACACATAATAAATTATTGATATTTAAAGAGTACAACCTAATAAGTTTTGTATAAACCCATAAAATTATCACCATGGTAGAGATGGTGAGTGTACCCACCACCCCCAAGATTCCTTCTGCTCTTTCTGTCCCTTTATAATCCATCCTCATAACCCCTGCAGCTCTCCCTGCACCCAGTCAACCACTGATCTGCTTCCTGTGACTATTGGTTAGTTTGTGTTTTCTAGTATTTTTATAGCATTTTCTGATATTTTATATACATGAGATCAAAATCGTACAGCACGTACTTTTTTGTCTGGCTTTTTTACTCAGCATAATTATCTCAAAATTTACTTACATTGTTGAATGTATCACTAATTCATTCCTTTTTACTGCTGAGAAGTATTCAGTTGCATGGCTGTACCACTGTTTGTTTATCCATTCACCTGTTGATGGACATTCAGGTTGTTTTTAGTTCTGGCTATTACTAATACAGCTGCTATGAACTGCTATGTAAAAATATTTATCTGATTTCATTAATCTTGGGTAGATACTAGGAATGAAGTGGTTGGGACATACAGTAGGTATATTTTTATTTTTTTATGAAATGATTAAACTATTTCCCCAAGTGCTTTTCCCATTTTTAGATTCCCACTAGAAGTGTGTGGCTTTTTACAAAAAAAAATAGTCTCAGTTGCTTCCCATCTTCCCTGTCATTTGGTGTGTGTGGTCAGTCTTTTATAACTTTAGATTTTTTAATAATTGTGTAAAAGTATCTCAATATGATTTTAATCTGCCTTTACATAATGAAAAATTATATTGAAAATCTTTTCATATACTTATTTGCTACCTATTGGTTTTCTTTGGAGCAATCTCTATTAAAATCTTTGCTTCATTTTTTAACTGAGTTGCTTTCTTTTTGAGTTTTGGTAATCCTTTTTTCCCCAACCTTCTGGATTTAAATACTTTATCAAATATGTGATTAGCAAATACAATATTTTCTCTCAGTTTGTAGCTTCTCATCTAATTTTTTTGACTTTCAGGGATCAGAAATTTTTTATTTTTGGGAAGTCTAATTTATCAATTTGTTATGCATCATGCTGTTGATGTGATTTCTAAGAAATCTGTAAAGATCTAAAGAAATCACAAAGATTTTATCCCCTAAGTTTTCTTGTAAAGAATTTATAATTTTACATTTAAGCCCAGCATCCATTTTCAGTGAATTTTTGTATATGATGTGTTGTATGGATTGAAGTTCATTTTCTTACATATAGAAATCCAATTGTTCCAAAATCAATTTTTGAGAAGACTGTCTTTGGTAATGCCGTTTTTCAGGTTGAGAAAACTTCATTCTATTCTGAGTTTGCTCAGAGTTTTTACCATAAATGGATGTTGGAATTTGTCAAATGCTTTTTATGTATCTATTGAGGTATCATATTTTTGAAATTAGTCAGTTAATATGATGAATTATAGTGATTGATTTTTGAATGCAATACCAACCTTGCATTTCTGGATAAACTCCATATGGTCATGAAGCAATACCCTTTTTATATTTTGTTGAATTTGATTTACTAAAATTTGTTAAGAATTTTTACATCTGTGTTCGTGAGTAATATAGGTCGGTGGTTTATTTTTCCTCCTAATGTCTTTGTCTGGTTTTGGTATTAGAGTAATGCTGGCCTTATAGTATGAGTTGGGAAGCATTCCCTCCTCTTTAATTTTCTGGAAAAGTTTATGCAGAATTCTTATTATTTCTTTCTTAAGTTTTTGGTAGGATTTCCCAGTCAAACCATCTAGGCCTGTGGTATTTTTTTGTTGGAAATTTTTAACTACAAAATCAATTTCTTAATAGATGTAGGTTTATTAATAGATTTGGGTTACCTATCTTTTTTTTCTGAGTGAGCTTTGGTACTTTGAGTCTTTCAAAGAGTTTGTTCATTTAATCTAAGTTGTGGAATGTATTGGCATAAACTTTTTCAAAATATTCCCTTGTTATCATTTTAATATTAATATCTATAGAGAGATCACATTTATCAGTCCTGATATTACTAATTGTCTCTTCTTTTCCAGATCAATCTGCCTAGAGATTTATCA